ATAAATATATTCAACAGATTATTTTAGTTAGTTATATTTTACGAACGATGTTTATTGATTAATTTTAATTTTTTTTTTGCCGTTTAAAACACTTTTAAACACTTTGTGCCAGTCTAATATATGAAGTAGAAAATGACAGATCTACAGGATATATGAAGAATATGTGAATAAGCTTTGTTAAATTAAAGAATGTAAACCATAATTACTACTTCAAAATAGCGGATAAAATTTTGCCTCGTTTAGTGTGCACCAATAATTAATAATAATATTTTTTTGTGTTTAAATAATAGAACTCAGTTCGTAAGGTATAAACCGAATACAAAGTTCATTCAAACTTGTCATCTATCATGAAAGCAACTTTCTCATGACATTGTATTTACTTTTGCATGAAATCATGTTTTATTTAGCTTTCTTATTTGCTTGACATGTATTCGTGATTTATGCAATATAATAAATTGAGAATTTGATGTCAGTACTTAATCTTTGTCCTCTCTATGGCAGGTACAAATATGAACTATATATGGAAAAAAAAATTTTCACTTAATAATATATACTTGACCTGAGAGAATGTTCTCATTTAACGTAATATCATTCTATTTTTGATAATTAAAAAGATAAATTTCATAAGCAATTTAACCTTTAAATGTTCTTAAAGAGCATAGATCTTCAATGGAAATATTCATTAATAGTAAAATTGAATTAAGTTTAAAAAAAGACAAATTAATCTTCTTAACTATTGAGATGAAAAATGAATAGAACAATTTCTCATTTTTATATTAAAAAAACCAAAAAAAAAGATAACAGAGGTTCATTCTGATTTTCATATTCATGATCTTTTTCTCGAACATAATCAGTTTATTTTTATTAAAATCATAAGTTTTTCATCTTTGAGTTTTTTTATTTACGTATGAGAAAGTTACATTAATATGTTTTTATACAATTTATGATTTTATCTATTTACAAAAAAATTTTTAATAACTACAATTAATCGAACTAATAAATTATTATGAATATTTCATAAATTATTCGTATAAAATATATTTATAATATACGATTTTACAAGCTAATTGATTATTCACTTTACTGAATTCTATATATTTCGAAAGAAATATAATATAATATTTTAAATCTTTGAGCAGCATATTTATTCTTTTATTAAATTTACTTTTTATTTCACATTTACTTTTTGTTCCATGATAATCATGTTTTGTACGAAATTAATTTAATATTCATTCTATACATGTGTGTATAATACACAAGATTATGTCATTGTCTAATTTTGAACATAATATTGATGTGTATTAAAAGATATCGAATGTATAGAAGAACATTCGAAAGAATTTAGTGATGAATATTAATGAAGTTAGCTTTGTAGAATTAATTATAATCTCTAGGCATTCAAAAAATTTCTAATTCAGCTTCTTTTTGTTTTTTAGATTAACTTATCATTAATCACTTCTTCCAATCTTTCTGTTAGATTTTGTTCTATCTAATCAATTGTTATTCAAGTAATGTTTTTTTTTTCAAGCAATCTATACGTCAAATACTTTTCTTCTTTGACCCATATATTCATGACAAAGCATTTTTAGACATGAAATTATTCTTTTTTTCTCTATTCAAATAGATTAAACATGCATATGATGTTCATGTCATATGCTATTGATTAATAGAGAATAAATGTGCGCAATATGACAATGAAGAAGCAAGAGAATAAACAAGGAACATCAAGAGTCAAAAAAGAAAACGAAGAAGGAAATTCAATCAGTAGAAAAAAAAAATCAATTCAATATGCTATTAGTACTGTTTGCTTCTATTATTTCCAATTGATGTTCTTTTTCTCTTTTGGTGAACGAGTAAAAAGGAAGCAAAAATGAGTATAACGGATATGTGGGTTGTCTTAGTCGTTAAGAATAATTGTGATTGTGTATTAAACTTTTGTCTTTTATTGTTTGATCAACCAATATCCTGAATTTTGTAAAAAAACATTTTAAACAAATCATTGCGGATGTACGATACACGTGAGTACGTATACTGATTCATCATAATTCCATATCGTACTATTTCTGATCATTCTTAAATAGATTGACTTTTATATCCAAATCTTCATTTTTATTTTTGGTTGTCAATACTATGAATATTCTGTCTTTTTTTTTTATCTTCTTTTATAATAGACAAAAAATGATTATTAGCTCATACAAAAAAAGAAGTATCTAGCAGCAAAATACAATTCTCTTGAGATTTTTTAAAGAATTTTTCAAGTGAATAAACAATATCCTTTTGCATTCATTATGATCCAAGTCTTTAGACGAAAAGAAAATAAGCATGATTATTATTCATTGTTTCGATTCATTGACGTCACATAGATACTAAGATCATTCTTTCGAAAAAGAAAAAAAGACATAGAGTACATATTAATTATTTTAATATCTCTATGGAGGTTATACAAAAAGAAAGTCGAACAAAAGAAAAAAAAAATTGATTAGATTTCTATATAAAATTATAAAATGTTCATTAAAAGTATAATGCGTCGACATTTCTTTTGACTATAAAAAGCAAAAACTTTCATTAATGTAATCTATGTATCTGCATAGGGTAACTTCATTAACGTATATATTTGCATATATAGAAAAAGAGCATGAGTACTAAAAAAGTTCATTTTACAGGGTTATGAGACTATCGAAAAATGTTATATAAGATAAATTTTATAGCAAAATAAGTCTGATCGAATATGAATTTTAATGATATGAATTAAGACGAAGTATTCATGTTCAATTTGAAAATTCATCGATCATCGATATTAAAAAAAAAAAAAAGTGTTTTTATATGAGATGAATGACAAAATAATTCTTATTTATTAAAGAGATGGATAATTTGAAAACAAGTCAAATGAATAGGAAGGAAAATCTAGAAGCGGTTTTCTTTTTCTATCACATAATCAGCTACTTGATTCGTCAGAATATACTGTCATAGGATGAGGAAAGAAAAATGAGTCTAGATACTTTTTCATGTTCTTCTATTATTTCTAAATTATTTACTTTTCTTCTGTTTTAATATGAATATTGAATAAAATTTCGAAGGCATACATGTAATTAAGATATATTTCTAATATGTTATGATTTCATGAATACTTTTGTTAAACAAAAAAATGATTATAATTAATTTTTGATATCGTAGAAAATCTTTTCTTCTGTCATACAATTGACTTTCATTATATCACTAAATCTGATTTTCAATGAATTTTCTCTATGATAAGAACTTATCTTATATTGCAAGTAGAATCTTACCCTTAGGATAAATATTTCTACATATCCTGTATATATTACTATTTTTTTTCTTAGCAGAATCTCAGTAAATAATAATAATAATACTAGATTGTTTTTAATACACTAATAATTGTTTATCCAGAAGTATGGATAACATGTATATTATTGTTGTGGATATAATATTCACTATAGAGTTAATCTATATCTCTGTAATATTGTCAAAATTTTATTTCATTTTTTTCTTTATATTTTAATAGATACGTCTAATTATTATTCAAAAAAAAATTCTTACAGTACGTTCAAAGATTAGATGTTTTACATGACTTCTTTTTTTATAATATAAGATATCGTCTCTCGTTCGTTGTCTTGTATGAAATATCAATCTAGTCTATCTATCTTGTATTTCTACTCTTTAAAAAAAACATATCATGTCATCATCCGACTTTCTCATTTTCTTTTTTCTTCTTTCTAGAGTTAGTTTTGTGTAAATTAAGCAGCGTAGGATATTTTCTTTTTTTTGAGTTAAGAAAATTTTTTCTCATTTTATTTTATAATAATAAAAGATGTTGTCACCTTTTTCTTTTCTGAATAATAATGTCAAACTTATACGTTGATGGTGACATATGTTGTCATCTGTTTCTGCGATAGAATTATCTATGAACATAAAATGACATTGAAAGCCCTCATTAAAAAAATAAAAAAGATATATAAATGTCAACAAGCATACAGATTATTTTTTTTTTCTATTGATTATGAGTCATGGAAACCGAGTTTTTCAGCGATAGGTTCTTTTATTGGTTGCTTTCATTTTTTTTTTTTTAGTCTTGATCTCAAAATAAGAATTTGATAGTTTCTTAGGAATAAAGATCTATAAAAAAGCAGAGAGAAAGAGAAAGAAATGTAAATCTGGCCAGAGAACAGTAAAAAAGAGAAGGATGTCTATCATAGAAAATTCTAGTCATTTTTCCTTTTTTAACTATATTCTTTTATTATTATACATCTTTTATATATATTTTTATTTTCTACTATTTGCATTTAATTCTTTAGAATTTGTTTGTGCATTGAATGCTTAATATTCTATAATAAATGAAGTTCTCTTATCTTTTCTTTTTTTTTAATTCTAGATCATTGCCGATTATTTACTGGAAGAAGTATCGTTCAACGTCTAAATATCATTAAAATAATTATCTTCAACAAGTTAATGTAAATTATTCCAAATGATTATAATGATGACAGAACACGGAGGTCATTTTCATATATTATAAATATCGATAGTTTCTTTTTTTCTTTTCTTATAAACTAAATTTTCATGAATTCAAATTATTCTAATTTTAATACATTACCTATTTATAAATTATATTTTGATGATATTGAAGAATTATTTCTTCATAAAATATCATTTAAATATCTATTTATTTCATCATTAATAATATGTTTCTTTATATTAGCTAGTATTATTATATTATTATATAGATCAAAAACAATATTTCTTGCATGCCTTATACCATTTATATATTCTTTATTATTCTATGATTTTATTCAATTATTATCAATAATTTTACTTAAATATAATTTAATAAATATTAATGAAAAATATTTTGGTGAAATATGTCGTTGGCCTTATTATTTAAAAGCTGCATCCGAAGCAGGACAATGTTTAACATTAGTACTTATATGTGCGATACGAAGTCAAAAAATTCGACATTTTTTAAAACATAATTATTTACCAAATACTGGTCATATTCATGCTCGTGCATTAACATTTGTTTGTTTATTATTTATAATTTATGTTAATAATTGGATAACACATTTAAAAGTTGAAAAAATTCATGTAGTTACATTGAATGAATCAAATTATGGAATAAATATTCAAGAATATCCAATAACATTTTATGGACGAAATCATGTTAAATTAAATGATTATGAACAATTTTATTTAGATCTTGAAAAATATACACAAAATTACGAAAAATTTCAAATAGGACAAAATAAAGGAAGAAAAATTATTCATAATGATAAAGATGATTCAGTAAATGAAATAGTAATAAAAATTCCTTATGGTGATTTTTATGGTCAACAAAATACAATAAAATTAAATCGAACACGACGAAAACTTGGAAAACGTCGTCATATATTAAATAAAACAATTTATGGTAATAATTCATATCGTATACATCGTTGTACATTTGGACAAAGAAATTTTTTCTTAGCAAATTTTTTATCTTTAATACATTCAATATGTTATTTAATATTAATAATTTATTATTTAACAACAATTTATCGATATAAAATTCCATATATAACTACAGATTATCGTCAAAATTTACATCATGAAGTATATACACTTGGACGAAAAAAATCTGTTGATCGTTATAAACAAATAATGTTATTAATACATTTAAGACGTTTTCAATATGTTGTTATTTATTGTTATACAACAATTATTTTAATTCGTCTTATTTATGTATGTTCATTTACATTTATTTTATGTTTAATTCAATCACCATTTAAATGGTTAACAATGAAAATATTCTATTATATATTATTTATTATTGTATATTATTCAATACCTTTACGTATTATTGTTTTATTTATTTATTTATTTTTAAGTTTATTTTCATCACATATTCATTCAATAGTTTATTATATATTTCATACAAAATTACATTTTTCATGTAAATTACAAAAACCAACAGTACGTTTTCATTTACATATTGTACAATATCCTCAAAGAAATTTAGAACATGATAAACATTCAAAAGATTCATTAGTTCATGATTTAACATCATCAATTTATGATGAACAAACACCTATATCTATAAATGAAACAATTGGTATCTATGAAGAAAATAGTAGTAATCAGCCTCCCATAAGAACAAGTATATGAGGAATTGTAAATGAATTTGAAACTAGGAAACTGTGATTGGTATTTTGTTCTTCGTATTTCTTTTTTGTTTTTTGAAAAAATAAAATTATATAAATAAATCATTTTTTAAGTTTTAATTAATTTTAAAAAAAGAAACATTCTAAATACTCATAAAACTGTAAGATAACTTTCTTAGTTTTTCTTTTCGACTCTATTCACATGACTTTTCTCGATCTATGTGATTTGAATCAAATGATTTTTACTAACAATTAAATTGTATAGAACTAAAATTAAATATTCCATCTATTAAACGATTACTTATAATAGATGTTATTCGTGTCTTCTCTCCATACACTAAACTATAAATAATAAATATTTGCAAATGTAGAATTTGGTATCTCACAGTAAAATTTAACAAAAATTTTCTGACAATATAATTTTCTTTTTTTTTCATACTTCTTAACATTCTCTTAAATTACATACGGTTCATTTTTATCTTTGAAATATAATATGTTTCTGTTAATTGCAGATTATCTATGCCTTACTACCTTCTCATTTTATAGTATGATTATATTTCTACATTTGCATGTTTTTTTGCCTTAATGAAGAAGGAAATTTGTTTTTTTTTATGTCGATCCGTTTACATAGTTTGTTTTTCATATTTTGAACTTCATATATCATGAAAGTACTTAGTTCTTAAAATAAGAGTTAATATATTTCAATATGCAATTTTTTCTGCTAGATTAAACTACTATTCCGTTTAAGGAAATGGAAGACGATATAAAGAATTTCTAAATAGTTAATGTAATCAATGATCTGTCAATAATTAAGGTTAAATACAAAAGACCTTTCTATTTGAAAAAATGTCTAGTTTCATTCAAAGCTTGAAACCTATTATATCGATTGCTTTAATATCAACGACAAAATCCTTGCGAACTATTTTCTTGATATTAAAAATATAGAATTTATGGTTAGAATAAATTTATGTAGATGTAATATGACTAATGCAAGACTGAACGTTTAATAGAAATAAACACAGTATTGATAGATTGTTTAAGTTTGTCTTAAATACATTCTTGAATAGCATTTGTATGGTTCATTGGCGACATTGTCTTGTTTATATTAGAAATTTTGAATTCAATAAGATTCTATACTAGTTCAGTAGCGTTAAAATACGAACTATAACTAGATCATTGATATAATTCAATATTCTATGTTCAACTAGAAAATGTGACCAATGAAACATGAAATGACTTATTAATAGCCATTATTCAAGAATGTATTCAAAAGATTTCTATTAGCCTATCAATTCTTTATATCATTCTATTAAAACTTTTATCTCTATTATAAGCATCTACTTTTATGCTATTCATATATATCTATATAAAAATTTGTTCTAATTATAAGTTTGAAGGTATATACTTAAAGTACGATTCATAAGCATTTTGTCCTTGATAGTTATATTTAAAAGTCTAATATATCGGTACACAACTACTATCTTTAGAATATTAAAATAATTTATTTTCATGACAAATATTTCATCTTTCTTTATAATCATATATTTTATAATGAAAATGTTCATGTACATAATAAAAACTCTAATACTCTACATTCAAATGCAATTTATGATACAATGATTCTACAGTATATGTAACATATTTACATTGAATTTCTTTCAAATCGATTTTCACATTTGAAATCATGTAGAATATAGTCAATTCACTTAACTATGATGACAAAAGATCTACTGTAGATTTTTATATTGAAGAGACCAATGATTTACAAAATTATAGCTAATAGTATATAAAAATACTGCAAAAAATGTCGGTCATCAAATATCCCTAAAGTACAATTTTGATACATAGTGACATAGCAGATTTTGTAAAGCAAAATTCACTCTACACATCCACCTATGACACTTTTCATGGGAGTACCAAACAGGAGAACGTCTTTTTAGTGCGAAAAGGTTATCTTATAATAGTAATATACTTATAATTTGATTATTTTGTGCTAAAAAGACTTCCCTTCTGTTTAGTACTTCTGTGAAAAGTGTTATATATAGGAGTGTAGAATGAATTTTGCTTTATAAAATTTGCTACATCACTATGTGGCTCAATTCCACTTTAGTAATATATGATGATTGACATATTAGCATTTCTTTTTATTGTATTTTTATATACTATTAGCTATTATATTTTTTCATAATTTTCTGAATCACTTGTCTCTTCAATATAAGAATTTACAGTAGATCTTTTGTCATCATAGTGAGTAAATCAACTATGTTCTACACGATTTCAAATATGAAAATCGATTTGAAGGAACTTAAGCAAGTTCAGTAGACGTTTCCTTACTTATTAATGATAATAGTTATTCTTTCTTTTTTGTTTTCAAAAAGGCATGAATATAAACATTTTTATATGACTATGATTTTATTTTTTCATAAATATATCGTTAAAGAAAATTATTAATAATATTTTATACAAATTATAATTGAATATTGAATTGAAATTATTATATTAGAGGAAATTTTTGTTTTCATAAAAGTAAAAAAAAAAACTTAATAATAACTCTATAGAATTAGATAATTGCCTATCACATGAACAAGAAAGATAGGAAATTATCAATATATTGTTATTGTTCATTAAGTGGATCACTTTTCATAGTTGATGATGCATCATAACACTAACAACACAATTGCAAATTTAAGATATTGTCTTATTTTATTAATACTTCTATGAAGTCCAAAAGATCCTTTGAAGCATGAACATTTTAGTTTTTATTATCAATCCTTCGCAGTATAATTGTTCTCAAAAGGAAACATTATCCTCCTCACTTGCATTATCATATGTGAAAGTCATAACAAACTCAATTTTTCCCTATAATCTTCGGAAAATCTGTTTTTTTTTGTATCGAATCCTCATTAAAATAAATTCAATCAGTTCATGATTTAATCTTCTATTCATAAATAATTTAATCATTGATTCTTATAAACACATATACGTCAAATAAAATCCATATGAATTAAATTTCAAGCTTGAATTTATTTATAAAGTGCATATATTAACATAAAACGTTTACAAAAAAAAAAAAATAACAATAATCAATCACTCTCAAAAACAGACACACATTAAAAAATAATGTCTAGATATAAACAATCAAATTTTTTATTCACTTAACTTCGTTGATGGTTTTTTTTGTTTCAAAAAAAAAAAAATAGATGCATTCAAATGAAGCATAAATATTATATATATATAATATTAAAATGTTTAAGAATATTGAAAATCTTTCTTTTGTTTTTTTTTTCTCTTTTCTAATCTTTATTTTACAGTTGTTGTTACTTTTTTTTGTTTTTTTATAACATTGACTTGTGATGTTGGAATAACAACAGCTTTTTGTTGTTGTTGTTGTTGTTGTTGAGAACTTTTATCTAGAATAAGAAATCAAATATTATTTTCTTCTGATTTTAATTTTATTAATTTACTCTTTTTTAATGCTTGAAGACGTCGAGGATTTTTAACACAACCATCAACACCCATTAAATGTTCACGCCATGGTTTTTCACCATCACGAATATTTATATGACATAATGGACAACGATTTGTATTTGATTTAGCTTCACTACATTCTTTAAGTTTAATATGAGTATCAAAATCATTTCCAATTGCTTCTGTACATCGAGAACATTGTTGATATTTACTTTTTTTTGCACATTCACGTAATAAATGTTCAATATAAATTCCAATTTCAACTACCTATTAATATAGAAATAAAACAAAAAAATTAAAAAAAAACGTCAAATCAAACAAACTTGATTGCATTCTTGACATCGTCGTAACATTGGACAACTTGCCCAATAATGTGTTTCGAGACCAGCACGAATAAAATCATCATTTTTTTCTCCACAAAATATACATGTACTAAAAAAAAATATAGTTCATTTAAATTTATAAATAACAAAATAATGAATTTCGACATGTTGACAATTGAAATTATGAACTAAGCGAGGTTTAATTTATCAACATTAAGTAATATCTCTATTGAATAATCCATAACTTTTTTTGGTCATAACTAAAAACGAACGATTGAGAAGATCGATTACATAATTATGTATATACGATTTTGTAATGAGATATTCTTACTTTCAACCAAAGTTCATATTACCTTATTTGTAAATTTATCTATTACACTCTTATAGTCAATGTCAAAATCATGTTTAACAGCTAATATTATCAAGTGATTCAAACGTTTATCAAACTATTGAATTTCTTGGTTAGTGTCGTTATGTAGAATGATTTCTTACAATTTATTCTTGTAAAACTGGTATTATTATGGCAATTTTATTCATTTGTGGAAATGCAATTGACTAGACAAAAACAAAAAGAATTGCTTTCGACTTCAAACAATTCGAAAAAATCATTTGTTGTCTAAATGATTTTATTTACTTTTTGTTAGTAGGAATATTTCGTTAATATCATTTTTCGCTCTTGAAATTTGTTTATGCGATTACGAAGTAGAATAAATTTTGTAGTTGTTGTTGTTTTTTTTTTCGTTATTTCATATTTAAAGAATAGAAGTGTTATTGTATAAGAGTAAATGCTTGACTGGGGTAACTTTGATGTTGTCTCTAAAGAAGTTTTTCTCAATCACTTCGAGTCAAATTTCAATGAATATTCTTTTTTCGATTCTACTTCTGAGTTTTATTTTGAAAAACTTTATTTTAGCTACTCCGATTCTGTCAGAGTTGGAATTGGGTTTTGGAGTCCGATGCAAGTCTGTAATATTGAAATTATTGAAGTTTATTAATTGTTAAAATTTACGATATCGATTCTATAAGATGATTGTATCACATTTCGTATCAACACAGGTATTATATTGAAGTAATTATTAATATGGGGATGAATATTTTGAAATTCGCAACAATTAGTGATCTTAGATTTTTCAGTAATCGGACACGGAGATTTTGAGAAATGTTTCTATACTTTAGAAAATAGTCGTTTACTTTCTAACGAGAGACTATTTTC